ATTAATTCCGTCCGCTCCAACAAAATCTGAGAACGTGAAACTGAGTCTTTGGCATGCGTAATTACGCAGAGCACCGTGCGCAATAGAGATTTGTCTGATCAAGGCAGCGATTGAGGTGACAAACCTGTCGCTGTGAAAGGGGATGAAAATGATTATAAACGTTAAGAGGTTAGAAGTGATTGGAGTTGAAAAAAATATACTTTTTGTTGCAGTAAATTCTATTAGAATAACTGTCATTCTAATTTATATTTTAAGATTCAGTAAGATCTAGAGTTTTTCAATATTTTTAAGTAATACGTGAATTATATTGTTAGAGTGAGATGTATTTAGGTTTCCTTATACCATTAAATATGAATTATTGTATGTACATACACTTACATTCTAAACAAACTTTACTATGAAAATGCAGGGTTTTGAGACGTACGCACAACGCATGCGCACTGTGGCTACAACAGGACCGACTTTCTGTGTCCAGACGTCTGAGGATCACAGAGCAACATGTAGCACTTAAGTCATTTCACAGGTAAGTTATTATTGTTCTGTTTTATTTATTATTGTTCTAACAGTTTTTTTAAAATCACAGATAAAAAGTTATTTCACTGTTTGTAGAACCTATTTTCTCCTGTGGCCCTTAAGCATTTAACTTTGGTAAGCTGTAACTATGCTTAATGAATAATTTTTAATTAACTAATTCATGCTCCGTTTGAACATGTAAATTTCAATCAAAATATAGTTGTACTTGTGAATCTTTTGTTGATTCAGATCAAAGAGGAATTCAGGAGAACAACAACCATTCCAGTGGATCAAACCAGGCAAAAACTTGACAAATAGACACGAAAGCTGATGAAAGCCAGGGGAGGAGTTTTGGGGCCCAAGACGAGTTTGCTCCTGGACCGACTGAGTCAGGTGTGCTTGTTTTGCTTGTTGATATGTTTTACAGGGAGATGGACCTACTTTTTTCTGATTCACAGACAGACCAAATTCTTTGGCAATGCAGTAAAGTGTTTCATGTAGATTAACAGGACCATCCCAGTATTTTTCTGTTCTTTGTGCTCTACTAGGGATTTAACAATATTACAATACTACTCTACCTACCTCAATAACAAGCCTGTGACATTTATTGCATTGTAAGACACCATTGATGTATCAGCATTGACATAACTTATTACTTATATTTATGAAATAAAATAGGATGTCTTGCTGCCCTCAGCTGCCTGTCTGTCCCCACCTCACTGACTAACTTTGCTCCTTCTCCATCGCTCCCTCAGTCACCCACTTCATCTCGCTCTTTCTCTGATATCTGGTCACACGATCGGTTCAAGACACCCCTAGGTCTTAAACTTCCCTCACATGCTCATTGTGTATTTATAATGCTTATGTTTATGTTCTTAATCTGTTCACAGAAACAGAGCATTGAGGTGAGAAGAGAAGCCATTATCTCCAGCCTTATACTGTACCATGGGAAGAAGGAATATGACTTTTTGAGGGCTGCTTGGTAGGTCATGTTTTCAAACAGTTAAAAATAATTTTGAACAAGGGGTTCATTTAAAGGGACATAGTGTTTGAAAGTGATTCATAAATGGGTAATTATCGCAGCATGTTACCATTGTGAAATTTCTTTCAGACACTCCGGCTAGGTTTAGGTTTCCTGCTTTATTTTATATAGTTTTTAATATTTTAAATTCAAATATTGTATAGAAAGAAAGAAATGCATGGAAACCATCTGTGTTAGACCGCTGTCTCACATCAGATGGGATACCCTCACAGCACAGGGGAAGAAGCTGTTTCTGAGTTTATTAGTTTTTGATTTGATGTTTCTGAAGCGTTAATCTGTAACAATATCTAGTATAAGTCATTTTGCCTTATGTAACTGTGGTGTAAATAGTGGTATGCTGAAGTTATTGGCTTGCTACAAGAGTGATTGATTTGTAATGGTTGTATGTTACAGTTTACGATGGCTAAAGCGATGGCAGTGGTCAGAGGCCACTCTTCAATAAACAACTGAAAAGAGAAAGAAGTTTGGTTATTGGAGCGTCGTTGTCTGGCTGTCTAGCCGGCTGAAAAGTTGGGAAAACTCAGGGCGAGGACAGCACAGTGATGTCAGTAACTCTGTTTTCAAAATCTGACAGCTATGAGATTGTCCCAGGATGCAAGAGTACAGCGAAAGCTTGTCCACTGCTTATGGGACTGATTTATGCCCTGAACTGTGCATACCCTCCTATTTTGTGCTACACTTTTAAAGTCCTCTAAGAACTCTTGCTGGAGATGGATCAATTTAAACTCTACACAAAAGAAAACACCCTGAAGTGAAAGTTACTGTCATGATTCTGTCTTCCTAGAGGAGGAAAATATTTCTGTAATGAATGTTTTAACTCTGACAGTGTTGTAAACTTTTCACTACATATTTCAAAAACACTGTTCCAGTTTGAATGTAAAATTTATCACTGCCCCATAAAGAAATTTAGAAATTGAATTCACACTACTATTGGAGTTACTTATTTGTGAAGCCGTTTCTTTAATGCATAGAGTATTGCTTCATTTTATTTGTAAACATTTATCCAGAGACAACTGGCATCAAATATATTGTTTTAGTGCGTAGTTTAACATAATGCAAAAAGTCAAAAATGTTTACTTTAATTTCATGTCATAATTACATGAATTGCCTTTAAACCTTAATGGCACATTACTTAATTATGTACAAAAACTGGAAATATGTTATATTCTATTGTAAACTTTAAGCTATTGCCTTATGTACTGGTAACTAGTTTTTACATTTCATTCCACTTTAATAAAACTTTGTCTTAAATAATGCTGTGAAGTTATTGAAATGTCAGCCTATGGTTCAGCTTGAATAAGTTTGAGATATTTAAAAAACATTTTTGCCTTTCTAAATAACTTTAACCTGGGCATTTTTTTTTTACCTGTATGGGAGGTCTTTGAACTCCAGAAATAATGACTTCTCTGCAACTGTCAGGAGAGAGAACTATACTGTCATTTAGTAAAATAATAAATTTTGTTTTGCCATTAAATTTGGTAATTGTTAGTGCACCATCTCAACGACTGTTTGATCATGAGCTATTCTAATGTTACAACACACTGGGGGTGAACACTTAATTGTCTCTTCAGTGGTGTAGAGAGGGTGTGAATAGTTCTTCACTTACAGCAGCTTGTGCAACATCCTATCTAGACTCGGCTCTAACATCCAGAGCTATTCACAGCACAGAGCCAGTTTTTTTAAGTCTATGTTTCTGCTGCACCAGCAGAACCGTCATAAACATTTTTCTACGTAAAACGTTCTACAAGGCATTGCTCATTCTTTTTTGCATTGTGTTCTGTTTTCTTTAAAAGGGATAAACACTAGAGTTATGTTTGAATGACTTCAAAACAAAATAGGAAGCACAATTCAGACAAAAATACAAGATGAAATATAAACCAATTTAATAGCTGTACTGATTGAACAAAAAAACAAAAACAAGTAGTTAGCCAAAAACTTTTAACATATTGAACATGAACCAATCGAATAATAAAAAACATAATACATTAACATGAAATTTTAAGTATTTACTCAATTAACTTCAGGCAATTAAGGGCTTCTGAGAGTCCTGCTACTTCTTTGTAGCTTGGCAGGTCATCTCTACACTTGAGGCACTGATCAGAGTTGTTCCTCCACTCCTGAACACACTCCGCACATCCCACCTGGCTCCGACAGCAGGAAGTAAACATGGGGCGAATCATAACAGCTGAAAAAGGACAGATCAGTTTAATACATTCTGCACAGTCCTCCCAGGCTATGCATCTTAACAAAAAAACAAAAACTATATTCCACTATCATAAATGTACAACAGAAAGCACCTTGAGTGCCCCAGTGTGGTGAGTGGGCCGAACTTATGAAACACAGTGGATTTCTTGCCTTATAAATGGGTTGGGACCCTCAGTTGTGTTGTGCAGAAGTCAGGTGGATACACAGCTGATAGTTCTACTGAATAGACTGTTAGCTGCTTTTTTTCTTGCCATAATACAAATTCTAAGTAAATAAAAAAAATTGGCCATCATTACTTTAAGAAATTAAGGCCAGTCAGTCTGAAAAATTGGGAAAACTTTGAAAGTGTCCACAAGTACAGTGGCAAAAACCATGAAGCACTACAAAGAAACTGGCTGACATGAGGACCGCCCCAGGAAAGGAAGACCTAGAGTCACCTCTGCTGCAGAGGATAAGTTCATCAGAGTCACCAGCTTCAGAAATCACAGGTTAACAGCACCTCAGATTAGAGAGCAGGTCAACGCCACACAGAGTTCTAGCTGCACACACATCTCTAGAATAACTGTTAAGAGGAGACTGTGCGAATCAGGCCTTCATGGTAAAATAGCTGCTAGGAAACCACTGCTAAGGACAGCCAACAAGCAGAAGAGACTTGATTAGGCTAAAGAACACAATGAATGGACATTAAACCAGAGGGAATCTGTGCTTTGGTCCGATGAGTCCAAATTTGAAATCTTTGGTTCCAACCATCGTGTCTTTTTATGACGGAGAAAAGGTGAACGGATGAAATCTACATGCCTGGTTCCCACCGTGAAGCAAGGAGGAGGAGTTGTGATGGTGTGGGGGTGCTTTGCTGGGTTAGGGGATTTATTTAAACTTAAAGGCCTACTGACATGGCTACCACAGCATCTTGCAGCTACATGCTATTCAATCCGATTTGGTTTAGTTGACCATCATTTATTTTTCAACAGGACAATGACCCCAAACACACCTCCAGGCTGTGTAAGGGCTATTTGACCAAGAAGGAGAGTGATAGGGGGCTGCACCAGATGATCTGGCCTCCACAATCACCGGAACTGAACCCAATCAGGATGGTTTGGGGTGAGCTGGACCGCAGAGTGAAAGCAAAAGGGCAAACTAGTACATCTTGAAGCTCATCAAGAGAATGCAGAGTGTGTGCAAAGCAGTAATCAGAGCAAAAGGTGGCTACTTTGAAGAACCTAGAATATAAGATATATTTGCAGTTTCACACTTTTTTAAAAATTATATAATTCCACATGTGTTAAAGCACAGTGGATTCAACATTATATATATATATATATATACACTATATTGCCAAAAGTATTTGCTCACCTGCCTTGACTCACATATGAGCTTAAGTGACATCCCGTTCCTAATCCATAGGGTTCAATATGACGTCGGTCCACCCTTTGCAGCTAGAACAGCTTCAACTCTTCTGGGAAGGCTGTCCGCAAGGTTTAGGAGTGTGTTTATGGGAATTTTTGACCATTCTTCCAGAAGCGCATTTGTGAGGTTGCACACTGATGTTGGACGAGAAGGCCTGGCTCTCAGTCTCCGCTCTAATTCATCCCAAAGGTGTTCTATCGGGTTGAGGTCAGGACTCTGTGCAGGCCAGTCAAGTTCATCCACACCAGACTCTGTCATCCATGTCTTTATGGACCTTGCTTTGTGCACTGGTGCACAGTCATGTTGGAAGAGGAAGGGGCCAGCTCCAAACTGTTCCCACAAAGTTGGGAGCATGGAATTGTCCAAAATGTCTTGGGATGCTGAAGCATTCAGAGTTCCTTTCACTGGAACTAAGGGGCCAAGCCCAGCTCCTGAAAAACAACCCCACACCATAATCCCCCCTCCAACAAACTTTACACTTGGCACAATGCAGTCAGACAAGTACCGTTCTCCTGGCAACCGCCAAACCCAGACCCGTCCATCAGATTGCCAGATGGAGAAGCGCGATTCGTCACTCCAGAGAACGCGTCTCCACTGCTCTAGAGTCCAGTGGCGGCGTGCTTTACACCACCGCATCCGACGCTTTGCATTGCACTTGGTGATGTATGGCTTGGATGCAGCTGCTCGACCATGGAAACCCATTCCATGAAGCTCTCTGCGCACTGTTCTTGAGCTAATCTGAAGGCCACATGAAGTTTGGAGGTCTGTAGTGATTGACTCTGCAGAAAGTTGGCGACCTCTTCGCACTATGCGCGTCAGCATCCGCTGACCCCGCTCCGTCAGTTTACGTGGCCTACCACTTCGTGGCTGAGTTGCTGTCGTTCCCAAACACTTCCATTTTCTTATAATACAGCTGACAGTTGACTGTGGAATATTTAGGAGCGAGGAAATTTCACGACTGGATTTGTTGCACAGGTGGCATCCTATCACAGTTCCACGCTGGAATTCACTGAGCTCCTGAGAGCGACCCATTCTTTCACAAATGTTTGTAAAAACAGTCTGCATGCCTAGGTGCTTGAATTTATACACCTGTGGCCATGGAAGTGATTGGAACACCTGATTCCAATAATTTGGATGGGTGAGCAAATACTTTTGGCAATATAGTGTATATATATATATATATATATAGATAGATAGATAGATAGATAGATAGATAGATAGATAGATAGATAGATAGATAGATAGATAGATAGATAGATAGATAGATAGATAGATAGATAGATAGATAGATAGATAGATAGATAGATAGATAGATAGATAGATAGATAGATAGATAGATAGATAGAGAGAGAGAGAGAGAGAGATCATCTATAATGTTTTCTACCTCACTCCTGTTTGTATTGGCTGTTTTCCCAGATATATCTCTAAAAAAATTCAAGATTTTTTACCGCCACAAAAATGAAGTTCCTCACACAGCACTCCGTTTCATAAATGTTCCATTTATTGACTATGAGTTGGTAAAATACGCTTGATATTGCGATTAATTGTCCCATTGATGCACAGCGACATCTGCTGGTCATTTAAAATACCTGTCGTGAGTGTCAAATTTACCATGTCTGTTCTGTCGCAGTTAAATCTCTCTGATGACTTTATTCCGAGTAAACCCTGTAGCTATAAAAAATATAAATATATATTACATCTAAATATATGTATATATTTATATATGTATAAGACCTGCTTTAATTTCGAACACTAGCAAAAGCTACGATGAGGACAGGAAATACAACGAAAGTTTCTCCATGCCATGCCTTTATTTTGAAGGGCCCCGGACCGGCGGGCTTGAAAGCCACGCCCACTTCTGAAACCGAAAATTGACTGGTATTTCCGTTTTGGGGGCGAAAACGAAAAAACCAAAATCAAGCCGTTTAATGGATTTTGGTTTTATGTGCAGAAACCACAAAACGGGAAAACGAATCGTTTTCTGAGGAGATAAAGGATAAAACGGCCGTTTTTCTGTTTTTTCCATGTTGAATTATACCGTTTAATCAAACTGATAAAAAGTACCTTCGTCGTCTTTAGAGATTGTAAGTGGTTTATCTATACTTTAACAAGAATGGATATTTCAGAATTCTACTGTAAATGTCCAGAAAAAAACTCAAAAGTTCTTATTCAGGATCTGCTTTTGTCCCGTTTTCAGGGATTTATTTCTCCAGCATACTAACAGGTGACAGAACGCTCTCTTCAGATTTTATAAGAATATATGAAGTTATAAAATATTTAATGATTTTACCACAGAGTTTTGGAAATGTAAAAACTCAAAGTACCTCATAATTACAGATATCCTTTTTCTTCCTTTTTTATTAATTTAATTTATAAGAATCATGAGAAGTGGTGACACACTTTCTTCAGATTATGTTAGAGGATCATTTATATCAGAAACACAAGTCCACCAAAGTAAGAAATCCATAAGGTCATTTGATGTGTTAATTAAGGCACAGAACCAAAGAGCCAATCGTGCCTCTAAACTGGGAGAAGTTAAATTTCCAATTAATTTACTTAAATTGTTCAAGTTGAAAATGTGTATTTCTGTGTTGAAACTGTTCCTTACAGATGTCCTAAAATTATAATTCCCTTGCCATGGAAAAAAAGCAACTGAAACCATTTGATAATGGGCACTTCTGAGTCTGATAAATGTCTCTAAAAGCAAAATAAAAAAAAAACAACTAAGACACTTAAATTTGTTAAAGAACAGTTATAGATTATGTGAGGGATTGTTATTGTTGTATTACCTACAGCACCTTAATGTTATTGAGATATTAGTCCTGTTCCTATGGTCTATAAATATAATGTTGGGTCTGTATGCTGGCGAAGATTCTCAGTCATCCAGATGATAGTCATTCCAAAAAACAAAAAGAAAACAAA